TTCAGACTTCATGGAGCTACATCTGAACAGATATAGACTATTAGAAGTAGAAAAGAAATTAATATGTATCTGCCAATGCTTCTCTGTAAGCACTGTTAAGACAGAGGGTAATTTTAAAGCTCAGCTCTTCATATCCAATCGCTGTGGCTGTAAGAAGCATCCACCTTTCTACTCAAGAACTCTTATCATCAGCAGTTTTTTAGATCAAGTTTGTAGAAGAAAGTGTTTAGTTATTAAGGTGACCTGAAGACTTTTTTACTTCTTTTTAAAATATTTTATTTATTATTTTCATTTTATGTGTATAAGTGTATTGCTTGCATGTATATAAGTGTACCCATGTCATGTAATGCCTGCAGAAGTCAAAAGAAGGCATCATATCCCTGGAACTGGAGTTAGGATGGTTATTAGCCACTATGTAGGTTCTGGGAATCAAACCTGAGTCCTTTGCAAGAGTAGTCAGTGCTCTTAACTGCTGAACCATCTCTCCAGCCCATTTTTTGCTTCTTAAACCCCATGTTCTTCTGTCTCTACATAAATAACAGGCAGGAATGAGTCCTTTGAAAATGAAAAGACTGCCAGGCATGGTGGTACAAACTTGTAATCCTAACACTTGAGAGACTGACGAAAGAGGATCATGAGTTTGAGGCCAGCCTGGACTAAACAGTGAGGCCTGGTCTACACTCAATAAAATGAAGACAAGGAAAGTCACATGGCCGTTTCCATTGCCAACAGCTTTAGAAAAGGGCTGTTCAACTCAGTGTTTCCCAGCAGGTACTTTCTGTTTCTGTCCTTCAGAATCACTTCTGGAATGTTTATGGTTTTTTTTTTTATTTTATGTGTACGAGTGTATTGCTTGCATGTATGTAAATGTACCCGTGTTGTGCCACGGAGATCAGAAGAGGGCTTCAGATTCCCCTGGAACTGGAGTTAAGGACAGTTCATAGCCGCCATGTGGGTGCTGGGAATCGAACCCAGGTCCTCTGCAAGAGCAGGCAGTGCTCTAACGGCTGAGCCATCTCTCCGGCCCCACTTCTGGAATGTTTTAAAAATGCAGATTCTTGGGCCATATGATATGTACATTGATCCTGCATGCTTAACAAATACTCTAAATAAATCTAGTGCCAAATACTGCCTGGGAGGCACGGGTGTGAGGAAGGACCAAGGGTGCCCAGTGGGCAGCAGCCACCAGTGGCTTCCATGCTCCTCTTCGCTTGCAGACAGCTGCTATCAAATCTCGCCAGCAATCGCAAAGGTGTGTAGGTTTGTATCTTCTGAAATGGCGGCATTTCAAGGTCCCTGGTGCTGCTTTCCCATCTTGTCCCACCACATTTTCTACTCAGCCTTGAGTTCACTCTCATTTGTTTCTCTTTGTACTGAAACTCAAACATGAATTTTTCTTTCCAGTTTGCTCCCTAGCACCACATCTGGGTTTCCTCTGCCTCACGACAGCCTCAAGTGCTTAATGGATAGGACTTCTACAAATTTTAAAGCATTATGTTCTTTTCTATGCAGCTTCTCACATAATTCTATCAAGCTTTAGAAGCCCAAACAATTCTGCTTTTCCTTCTTATTTTCAGGAGGTCGACCTCACTTGGCTTCTCTGGAGTGCCTCTGGACAGATGGCCTCACTTCTCCAAACTCTGTGGATGTCTCTGTACCTTTCCTTTCTGGACTTATCTCCTTTATCACACTTTTCAGGAGGAGTTTCTGTGTTTAAATAAGATGCTCACTGCATTAAGCCTCTTCTCTCTTTCTTCCCCACTCTGCTGCCTACACATAGGGAATTTGGCCAAAACACCAACAATTTCCTTCTGAAATGGCATGTCTCAGAGAAATCTGGTAGAACCAGGAAAGCAATGCATTCCTCGAAGTCAGAAAAGCCTGTTTAAATCTAGGTTTCAGGGCTGGAGAGATGGTTCAGCGGTTAAGAGCACTGACTGCTCTTGCAGAGGACCCGAGTTCAATTCCCAGCACCCACACGGCAGCTACGCACCCTCAACTCCGGTTCCAGGGGAATCCGAAGCCCTCTTCTGACATTGCATGACTCAGGTGCACTCACATACCTGCAGGCAATACACTCATACACATAAAATAAAAATAAAATATTTTTTAAAAATCTAGGTTTCATCATGCATTAACAATGACAAGAACAATCACTTGTTGCTTTCATTTGGGAGGTAACTAGACGGTGCATTCCCTGTGATGTCTAGGCGGCTGGTACTAAGACCTCCTTGTTCCAGCTGGCCACCCAAATCTCTGTACACCCTGTGGACTCTAACTGGCTCCCTTAGCCTACTTGTTCTGCACTGCAGGAGCAGTCCACCACTGAAAACGGCTGCTGCAAGAGTCACAGATAAGAAAGCTCTCTGAAAAACATCAACTGAAAGCTGCGTGCAGTAATAGAAGAAAATCAGGTGGTTTTTATTATATCATTCCTATGGAGAGAGTTTCCTAAGAGTCATTCAAATACTGTAAAGGATTATTCTGAAACCAAATGGTAGCATAGTTTCATAGTTTTCTTAATTGATACTGCAAATTTTGTATTCAACAGTGGCGCCTACAGGAAATGCAGCAGCGCCTGCTAAGCCTGATTCCCCAAACACTGGAGTAGCAAAGTGAACGAGGAACTCTCAAAGAGCTTCCAGAGAGAAGCCAGACCTTAAAGGAGTACACACCACAGGAGGGGCAGCACATACTGAGTCTGAGAAAAGGACTGCCTGGGAGGGGTTGTTACTTAGAGGCAGGGTGTTCAGGGAAGGTCAAGGTAGAGTCTTCAAATGGGAATCCACTGAAGAGAACCGCAGCAAGGGAAGAGCAGGAAGGGGAGAGAACCCTGGTGTGAGGACCAGGTGGGAGGTCCTTGGGGACAGAATGGAATAAACGGAAGAAAGTCACAAGAGAGATGGGCGCCTACCAATTCAGAAGGCCAGATAGGATTTCTGAATTGTAGCCTGAATAGATGGGACAACCACGGGGAACCTTTCAGCCATTCTTGTTTTGAAAGGATGGCTTCAGCAGATAGGCTTCGAGAATGCTCAAGAGTCAGGGTACAGGCAGTGAAACCAGCAGGGTGACCTTGCAGAAATGCAATGGTCCAGGCAAGAGATGACTGTGTAGGCAGCGACGGGGACCCTAAAGAGCAGTCAGAAAGGACATACATGGAAGGCAGAGCTCAGAGGACACGGAAACAAGTCTGATACACAGAGGAAACCGGAACCAACACATTTTCCTCGTCCCTTTTGGGTTCCTAGTGATTTCCGCCACAGTATTACCTACTCCTGTAATTAATAACATAAAATTCCTCAAAAGGCATTTAATTTCTAGCACCTCTGCCACCTGTGGAGGATACACGTGCTACGTAATTCAGAATGGGCACTTAAATAGACAAGCGGAACGTAAAGACAAATGAAGAAGCAAGTGTGCAAATAGTGCTGACAGAATATTCCAAGAGAAGTAAAAGCAAAGGCAAAAGGCAGAACTATCTCAAAATTCTAACCACAGCTAAACAAATACAGTGATTTTGTAGTGCGAGGCTCTAGTTACTGAGAAAGGAATTCAGTACGAATTCTGAATAAGGGTCTGGAGAAAACAAAAATATCTATAAAATGAAAACCTTTTGGGACTCATTAAACTAAAATTGTTCCTTAGGCAGTAAGATTAATTGACAGTAATAAAAGTCATGGCAGGATAAGGGCAGCATTTATAAAGGCTACAGTAATGAGCAGGCCACCTGCAGAGTTCGTAGGATCTTCTTACCATAACTCAGGTACAGCTCTCTCATGCCAGAAATATTCCTTTCTATGAAACTGTAGTTGAATTGAATAAAATAGGTAATAAGAACTGCTTTTAACTCACATTAGTTAAAGGCTATTAAATGGAGTACTAGTCCTTCATTAAAAACTCATTCATACAGGAAAAAAAAGATTTGTTAAAGAGTTAACTTTTTAAAAAAGAAATTAAAAAAAAAACTGGTTGGAAACGTAGTGGGAGAGTGAGCAGGACTAAGGAACCTTCAGTGCATCGCTAGGCATGACAGCTTTATGATACTCAAAGAATACTACAGTCAAAGTAGTGTGAAAGGTCTGCTAAAAAGCTGAGGGTGTCACAGCAAACAAGAATATGACCCCAAAACACTGCCTTTATGAGCCTTCTATTAGATCTTTTAAATAATTCCAATTTCTAATTAAAATATAAAGATATCAAATATTTACTTGATTATATAAACATTTTATGTTTAGATAAACATTTGTGCTTATATGACATCACTATAGTTTACCCGAAATATATGATAGCTGTGAAATTTATAAAGAAATGTGAAATATTAAATAAAATATCCTTTATTGCTGAAGATATAAAAATAGTCAATAATATACATTTTTGTGACCTAAAGTCACCGCGGTCTAAGGGTTTTCTCCTACCCACCTGAAGAGGTCTCCAAATTTGCTTCTGAGGTGGCTACATGAGACATAGAGATCATAGAGGTAGGCTAGGATGCATCTTTCAGGGGAAGAACATTCCGAAGGGTTGACAACATGCTTCACCACACCACACAACCTAAGGGCAAAGACACAGAAAGAAAGGAAGCACATGTCTTCACAGTACGAATGTAATTTCTTGGAATATTTAGAGAGCTTGTCTACATATTACTTGGAAATATATATATATATATATATATATATATGACATCAGAAAAAAGCAAGATTGTTGAGAGAGTAAAGTATCACATATCAGTTTTTGTTATAGTAAAATTCATATATTACAGAAATCTCAGAAATATCACTGGCAAGAAAAGAATGAAAGAAATTTCTCCACAGCAATGTATATGCAGGCATTCATTCGTTAACCTGCTATAAGTAAAATACAAAAGGAAAGGTAGAGTATAAATCTTCCAGTCAATAAAAAGGTTCACAAATTCAGTCACTTAGCAAAGGTTGCCAACAAGACTCATTTGTAAAGAAGAAATTCCTCAAAGCATTAAATCTGGGAAATCTTAAACTTAAGTCACATTCCTCTTGTTTATCCAAACTAGAGGGAAACGTATCTTGGTTTATCTATGTAAAAAGATGCACTGAGGTTACATGGAGACCCTGCCTCAAAAAGACCAAAAAAAACAAAAAGATGCACTTTAACCGTGTCCTCTATAAACCTTACAGAGAAGTACTTGGCACTGCCATTCTGTGCCAGTTCCTTCATTCGGAACCATGGACTCCTTCTCCACACAACAGAAAAGTCCACATGGCACGGAAGGGAACACTGGTGGGCCATCGCTTAATTCCACTACTATCATAGAGCTGACAGAGGGTTTGGTATAACATTACCCAACAGTGTCACATATGACTCAGATCCTGAAAAAGGTCTTAAAAATCTTCTGACTACCCTCGCTGTACAAAGAGGGCTGTGGGGCCCAGCAAGGTGCAGTCAGTTGCAGAGGGTAGAGATAAGGTTTCCCTGTGCAGGTTTGATCTCTCACTACTATTAAGAGGCCTGGGAAATGTAGGAAGCAGCCTGGAATGTGCAGGGCCACTACACGTAGGAATCCTCCTGCATCAGAGATGGATGTCAGGAAATTGAAGGATGGTAATGTAGCACCCAGCTGGTTTGAAGGAGTGCCATCAGATGTGCCCGTCCGGTACTTATAAAGGAGACCAACAGTAGCAAGTGTGACATAGTTAAAAAGAAACGCAAAGATACAATCTATTGATGGTAAATAAACAAACCAATTCTTATTAGACCTGTGAAGCAAAGAATTACTCTGTGACTTAAATACACAAGCATGTCCTGAGAATTGAATCAATTCTATAGAATGTTTCCTCAACTTCTTTCACTTACCAGAAATAAGAGAAACTTTTACAGCATGATCTGATATACTGCATTACATAAGTACAAAAAAACTAGTTTAGCCAAAAAGAATACTTTTACATGCATAAGGCAAAAAATATAACAAAGTTAATGCCAAACATGATTTTATTAATATTTAATAAAAACATTTTCAATGTCAAAATAAATGATACTAAAATAACTTCAAACTAACAATATAAAAACTAACTCCAAAATATTTTTTATAACTCCCTAAATTGGTTTCATGACCAATAAATGAGTGTCTATACAATGATTTTGAAGAGTGGTACAGATGAAATTAACTCTTAATTAGAAAGATCTGTTGGGGTGGAAAGACGGCTCAGTGGTTAAGAACACTGGCTGCTCTTGTAGAGATCCCAGGTTTGATTCCCAGCATCCACATGGCAGCTAACAATGCTCCAGTTCTAAGGGATCTGACGCCCTCTTCTGACCTCTGTGGGCATTGCATGGCAGGGCTGCACCTACTTACTGGCTCAGTGGTTAAGAACACTGGCTGCTCTTGTAGAGATGCCAGGTTTGATTCCCAGCATCCACATGGCAGCTAACAATGCTCCAGTTCTAGGGGATCTGATGCCCTCTTCTGACCTCTGTGGGCATTGCATGGCAGGGCTGCACCTACTTACATGCAGGCATAACATTCATACACATAAAATAAAAATAAGAAGCCAGGTGTGGTGGCGCACGCCTTTAATCCCAGCACTCAGGAGGCAGAGGCAGGCGGATCTCTGTGAATTCAAGGCCAGCCTCGTCTACATAGTGAGTTCGAGGACAGCTGGGGCAACAGGGAGACCCTGTCTCAAAAAGTCCAAAAGTAAATAAATAAATAAAAATAATAAAGAAAATATTAAGGAAAGATGTATTAAAACTCTGGAAGGTTTATTAGTTAAGTAACGTTGGTGACATCACTTCCCAAATTACTGACCTATAAAATGATTCTAATGATTCTAAAATTCAAGCCTTATAACATGGTTGAGGGTTATTAAACAACCTCATAATTCTAAACTATATGCTTTCTCATACTTTGAAGTTTCTGAGTAACACTCTACTTCCTAAACCAGGCATACTATTTGTACACATAGAAAGTAGCATTTTTTTCCCAGAAAAGCCACTGTAAAACTGATGCCACTAAAGAAATAATGTTTATAAATCAAAACTATGTGTTAGGTTACAAAAGGAACTGAAAAACGCCCGGATTCTTGAAGCCAGGAGTGAAGAAAAGAAAACAAACAGAAAGAGGCTGTCCTTTCTTGTAAAAGCCCCAGAAGAAAAGGTGGCAGTAGAGAAAAGCAGGCCTGTATGGGCCATCAAGAGCTTGCCACGTATCTCTGGTCCCTTTAAGTTAGTCTCTTGTGGATATACTGGGAAATTCCTTAGCCCAACTTTATTAGCAGCAGTAGACTGAATCTTCGCCTATACGACACACAAACTAAGACAGAATGAAGTCATTTGTTACAAAAGACAGCTTTAATCAGAAAGATGAAATTAAAGAACCAAAATACTACAATGACAATGTTCTGCAAAGGTTGTTGAGTGTTCTATTCCCCAAATACAAGCTGAAAACAGGTACAGGGAACATACTAGTCTTCCCTCCTCCCAGTAGGCCAGGATGCCGTGCAGTATGAAGATGAGCACTGTAAACAATGCACTCTCTTCAAAACCAGATGTGAGAGAATGCAGCAGCAAACAAGAAAACCAGCAAATGCACCTGGATATTTATATCTCCTTATCTAAGAGGTATTTCTGCCAACAGTATTCTTTTAGATATCATTCGAATAAAATGAAGATCAGTACGACTTTTCTCCACCACTGTATCTCATTACAGATCTGACATTTTAGCATTTATATACCCACCCTTCGAACACCTGGGCGGTCTGATCAGGATTCAGGATCAGACAACTATGATACCTCCGGAGAACGGCCACGATGCAGACACACAGGCCTGTGGTATAACTTCCTGCCAGGCTAGAGGACTTCAGGAGCAGTTCTGCTTCCACCACACTGAGTTCATTCAGTAACTACAAGAAAGGCAAGTGAGAAGATGTAGGTGGCACAGAGGAGAACCCTTTGATGAACCCAAAATACACTCTCATTCTGTACACTACAGCATCAAAACACACATACTAGTTTTTCCTGGTGTTTATTTTTCAGCCTTTACCGAGTTATACAGCTGTTCTTCTGTCTAGACACCAGGGCATTCACAATCAGGAAGTAACCAGTGCTGAAATAGTTACCGAAACTGTATGACAGCCTAAAGCTCTGGACTGGATAATTTCAAAGAACAACCACATCCTTTTGTTTGTTTTTTATCAGTTCTTTCTTTTTTTAAGACAATGGAAGTACTCTGCTTCCTTGTTTATAAAGCTGATGCCTACTGTAAATAAAAATAAAAACCAAGTCTAAGTAAAATATGTGTAACTACAGTGGGACAAATAAAACTATAAGGACTTCCTAAAAAATCATTTTTGGTTTTTACCTGTAATATATTCTATTACATAAAAAAATGGTATTTTTATCATTCCCTAAGCAAAACAACAAAATACCCAAAATAAAAATCCCAAAGTCAATATATTTTTAAATAACAAGTGTAATACTTGAACCAGTTACAATCATTTAACTGGAAGCTATGAATAGTTATAATTGAAATGTTTATTTGAAGATTTGTCAACTTAGAATGTCTCAAACACTTTAAAATGCAATAGCTTAAAGTAGGGTTAATATTATGAAATCGGTGCATGGTCAAAAGCATGAGGGGATTCCCAGAGGCCGGAGCAAGGCAGGTAAGGGAAGGGCCAAAGAAAGGCTGACCGATGGTACTAAGTTACAATTTCGTAAGAACAAGATGTTCTCATGTGCTGAAACATGGCAAGGGATTACAGATAACATGTACTATACCTTGGAAAAATTAAAGGAAAGGATTCTGAAAGTTTTTACCATAAAAATGATAAATGTCTGAGGAGATAGATCTACTAAACCTGATATAGCACATTACACACTTTGCACATTTTAAAGCATCATATGATACTCCTATGTCTATAGCATTTTTACATTTTTATGTACCAATTAAAAAAATAAATTTAAGCTAGGTATGGTGTCACAAGCTTGTAGACTCAGAGGGTAAGAGGATCACTTAAGATTGGGGGTTTCAGTCCAGTCTGGACAATATAGTGATATCCTGGTTTTTAAATAAACAAACGAAAGCATCAAAGAATCAAATTCTTGAATGTCTGGTAGGTTTTCTTTCCTAAATGTGAAAAAGACATGGTCTCTTTGGCACCTGTATTGCAAAGTCAATTAGTCCATTGATGTTCAGTGCTGGCTCCATGAGATCAAAGATGAGCTGAATATGGTGAGCCAAAGGGAGATGATAGGACGTTCCCGAAGCAAAGCTTGTGATCTGCTCCAGTACATTGTTAGAGATCTGTCCAAGCAAAAGCAAGAATAATCACACAACATATATCCAAGACTACATTTCAATTACAGGCATTAATTTTTAAAGTAAGACATTTGAAATAATGTGATTCTACAAGCAGAAATTAAAATATACTTCCACAGAAACAAAAACATACTCAAGTCAGCATCCTTATAATCACAGTTTGAAGAAATATGACATATTATCATTATAATCTATATCCTGGTAACCCATAAATGTTAACCAACAGACACTCAGATGTGTTAACTGATAAATAATGGGTTTCTTCTCAGGTTCACTGTATTTTAATTCAATCATCAACAGACTTACCCATCAATAGTGACCAATATGTAACAAGTATCTCAATGGAAACATTTTATATATTGTTGATTATCATAAGATAAAATACATAATAAAGCACATCCTGAGGGAGGCAATCTGACACTTTAAAATGAACAGTTTGTGATATTGCAAACATGTCTATAAAATGTATTTATAACATTCAAGCTAGAAGTATATTGCATGAAAGAGGTTTCTAAGGAAGAAGGAACATTCAAAGCGCAGAACAAAGTAGCCTTGAATGGTTACCTGAGAAGTCACTTGATGCTGATCAAAGTAGGAGAGGAGCTGAAGCTTCGTGAACACGGTCTCCAGTGTGGGAAACGCTTCTTGCTTGCTCTTCCTGACCTTTTGTCCTTCATCTCCAACTAATTAAACATAAGATAGATTACTTCCTATTTAAATCAAGGTCCTGATTTTTTACCGATTAACGTTCTCTGTGTGTGAGTGTTCACTTGCGTGTAGAGGCCAGATGAAAACTTCTGATATCATTATTTAGGTGCTGTCCACATTCTTTTAATTAATTAACTAATTAATTACAAGGTTCTCTCACTGGCCTGAAGCTCACTGAGTATTCTAGACTGACTGGCTAGGGAGCAGAAGGGATCTGCCTGTCTCTGCCTCCCTAGCACTGCGGTTACAAACTTGCTCCACCAAGTTCTGGGGATCGAACTCAGGTCCTGTGCCTGCAAGGCAAGCATTTTACTAAGTTCTCTCCCCATTCCTCAACTTTTTATAGATACTTTTAAATGAAGTGTGGTATATATACAGGAAAGTGTATACGCTCTACGCATTTCAACAAAACATAACGAGATTCAAATCATAAAATAACACCTCAGAGTGCACTTAACAGACTCTAGCCACTTCTCCCTCCCCAGAGGACCAAGCTTTACTTCTTCCATTTTGGGTGGATGGCAACTTTCAATTTACATTATGGTTTTCTTTTGTTTTGTATTTTTGTTTTTTGAAAAAGGGGTACCCTGTAATCACAGCTGGCCTGAGCTTGCTCTGTAGACCAGGCTAGCCTTGATCTCACAGAGATCCACCTGCCCCTGCCACCTGAGTGCCAACATTAAAGGCATGCACCACCATGCCCCGCTCTCAATGTTATGTTTTAAGACTGGTTCACTGGTGAGATCATTTTAATTTTTTCTAAAAATTAATGATACATTTCTAATGTGGCACAATACCACCATTTATCAATTCCAGTAGATAGAGTCTAGATTCTGTCTACGATAAAGTACCTTTATGAGTATTTATCATTAAATTACTCAAATGAATGGGAGAGGGAAGTACCAGGCTCACTGATACAACAGGACATGCCATAGGCTTTAAAAATAATTTCTGGCATTTTTTGCACATGTTTGTATGTATTTATGTACATTTTTGCACCACAATGCATGTGTGAGGTCTGAGGCCAACTTGGCGGAATCAGTTCTCACCTTCTACCATGTGAGTTCTGGGAACTGAACTTAGGTCATCAGACTTGGTGGCAACTGCCTTTTCCCACTGAGTCACTTCACTGGCTCTGCTGGCAATGTTTCTGTCCTAGACTCACATTCATATTTTCAAAAATATTTTGTTATTTCTATTTTATGTGTATACGAGTATTGCCTGCATGTGTGTTTTGAAAGTGCACCCATGTGGTGCAATGCCAGCAGAGGTCAGAAGAAGATATTAGATTTCCCTGGAACTGGAGTTATAGACGGTTGTTAGCCACCACGTGGGTGCTGGGAATTGAACCTGGGTCCTCTGTAAGAGCAGGCAATGCTCTTGATTGCTGAATCCTCTCTCCAGTCCCTCACCTTCATATTTTTATGAAAGAGTTAGTGAAACATATTTGGTCTTTTGTTTGCTTTCTTTGAGACAGGGTCTCCCTGCAGCCCCATTGGCCTAGAACTCACTAAGCAGGCCAGGCTGGCCTTGATCCTGCAGAGATCTCCCTGCCTCTGCTTCCAACATGCCTGGCCATTATATATGCTTTCTTATTTAAGAAAAAAATTTACATGACTCCTGTATTTTTAAGGAGAATAAGGATTTAAATCACTCAGTATTAATGAGAAAGGTTACCAATTCACCAAAAAAGGTTTGAAGAAAATTCCAGTTAAAAATATAAGCAAGGTTTATTTGGGGAACTCTTGCTTTCTTAACTAAGAATAAGATGCAAAAACAAGTTCAAATATCTACAAACATGATTGAAGCTATGTTTTCACAAAGACAAAGACAAATTTGAAAACAAAAGGCTGGGTGAGTATCTGAGCTCTGAGGCCATTTCCACACTGTGGCTCTGTGTGGTGAGAGCCATCCTGACAGGACTCTGCTACTCACAGCCTTCTTACTGGGGCAGGCTTTAATTCGAGACAACAGATAACCTCTTTACAGATTTCCCTATTAAAGGCATAAAAATAAGCAATAACATTAAAACAAAGGAGGACTCATTTTGAAAGATAAGTCAAAAAATTTTTTAAAAGGTTAAGTTATCCATTTCATTGAACTGTGAACCTAAAAATTTTATAGCCACTTTTGAAAGAGATGTATCTTTGCTCTGGAAACTGTTATTGAGTATGTTGAAGCTGTAAGGAAATCTTTTAAAAAGGAAAAGAGAAAGCGGGAAACAGTAGAATGAAAAAAAAATTGTCATATTTCAATTTGGTACAACAAATACCAGAATAAATAAATCAGAATTAAGACGTACTGGAGCAGGGCTGGGATCAGTGAGTAACGTGCTTGCCCTGCAAGCATGAGCGCTTATATTCAGTCCCAGAACCCTCCTCCCAATAAAAGGCAGTGGTGATACACGATGCCTGCCTATGATCCCATGATCCCGCACTGGGAGGGGGCGGCCAGCCTAGCTGGTAAGGTCCAAGTCTGGGTCTCCAAAAAAACAGTAGAAGGTCCCTGAAGAATGACAACTGACGTTGTTATCTGGCCTCCACCCATATACACACACCTGTGCGCCTGTGCACGCACGTGCGTGCGCGCGCGCGCACACACACACACACACACACACACACACGTGCGTGCGCAAGAACTGCTGGTACAACATAAAATACAATCCCATTCCTGTCAAGTGACACCAAAGATAATACGAATGAGAACCAGCAAATTCATTACACTTCCTTCCTTCTCAGAATTCTCCTAAGTGCAAGTTAAACCTGGGACCTCATCTTCTCTATAGCTGCTCTTTGTATGTCATAAGCATGTTTGAAATATCCAAGTTTTGGTTTTTAAAAACCTTCCCTAATACCATTGCTCCAAGACTGAAACGCTCAGGTCAATTGTCTTATGCATGAAGTGATTTAAAAGTGAAGGCAATGTACTAATTCCGTCCTTCGTAGGACAAAAATAAACACATCAGGGACTTGAGGAAGCAGACCAAGCTCAGAAATCCCAAATGGCTCCATTGCTAACACAAATAATGTCATAAAAGCTCATATGAAAAGATATAATTATGAATCTGGCACTTTTAAAAGAAAAATATAGGAATTCAGTGATGCCTCTCAATGAAGTATTTCAATAGCACTTACACAAATTTGTCTTTTTAAAGTTTTACTTATTTTATTTTGTGTATATGTTTTATCTGCTACCTGTATGTATGTGCATCCCTGTCATGTAGTCCCCATGGAGGCCAGGAGAGGACACTGGACCCCCTGGAATTGGACTTACAGATGGTTGTTAGACACTATGCAGATGCTGGGAACTGAACCAGAGTACCAGTGCTCTTAACTGCTGAGCCATCCCTCAAGCCCCCAATATAGTCTTAATATAAAGGTTTTTCTTACCTATTTTAGTTTACTTGTTTTCATAACATACACGATTGCTCTTCTGTTGTTTCATTTTTAATTTAATTTTTAAAAATCTTTAACTTCTTATAGTGTGGATGTCATAGTAAGATTAATATTTTCAAAAAATATACCATTAACAACCAAAAATAAGATGACTATTTAACAAAAATATAAAATGAAATCTGACTGTGTTCAACTGGAAATGTTATTTAAATTTCAAGTTAGGAGCTGGGGGTGCAGCTCAGTTGACAGAGTGCTTGCTTAGCAGGCACACAGCCCTGGGTTTAGTCCTAGCATCACACAAACTGACACAGTTGTACATGCCCATAATCCTAGCATAAGGGAAGCAGGAGCAAGAGAATCAGAAGTTCAAGATTATCCTCCAAGTTTCAGGCAGCCTGGGACACAGAAGACCTTACCTCAAAAAGCAAACAGCAACAACAACAACAACAACAACAACAAAAAAAACAACTTCAGGTTAGAAAGTCCTCTATGAAAGCCTGACTGATTTGACAAATAAATTTGGCTCCTCAACATCTTATTTTTGTTCCCAGAAATAAAATACTCTCTGGTCCAAGCTTCTTTCCTTATTAGTCCTCATTTTGCTCAACAAGTCTTTGTTTTTATTTTTTGTGACATGGTCTTACTAAGCAGCCCTAGCTGGCCTTGAACTCACAGAGGTCCTGCTTCTGCCTTCTGCGTGCTGGGATTAAAGGGGTGCAGTGTTTTGTTTTGTCTTGTTTTTTAAAGGATAAATGTCCATTAGTCATAGTACAGCTGGTTAGCTTTTGGTGCAAATGCTAAGCCTTAAATAACGACTTAAATGAAGGCTGTTTTCCAGATGGCAACTCACTACAGCTGGAATTAACATAGCGCTGATGGAGCAATGTTATTTAAAAAGACGGACAGAAAGAAATCCCCTCTGAAGATGCCACATTGAAGTGGTGTTTCTGTGACTGATACTTCGAAACACAACATTGAACAGTAAATTTCTCTTAGTGAGTTAGTGAGTTCGTATACCTACCTAAGGGATTGGAACAGAGACAGAGACAGACTGGCATTTGCAAAACTATGAAAGAAGTAAATAAGAGTCAGAGTAACACCCAAGTGCTTCCTTCCCTTTCAGACTTCCTTAGGCCTTCCTAAACCGGAAATTCCGGAGACTCTGGAAAGGCCTTCTGTAAGTCATTTAGCTAGATTAAGCAAGACTGATCAATCTCTGACAGTATTAGTACACTTATAAGCCATGTCTAAGTATACCAACAGTCATTCAATAGCCTCTGCTAGCTAGTTGCAAGCTTCCAAATTCAATCTTCTAATTCATTTCCTCTTTTCTCTAAGAGAGTAAAAACTGCAAAACAACTGATAGTTTTCTTAGACAGAGCACTTTCTTTTTCAAGCTCAGTAAAGAAAGACAAGTCAACAATAAGAGGGTTTCATTTCCCTTCCACGTGGTTGTGGTTGTTCCTTCTGGTGCTGGATGTATCAGATCTTTAAGTAGCAGTGGAAGGGAGTCAGGAATGTGATAGAAATCACATGAAGGTATTTCCCACTGTGTTCTCAAAAGGCCATTCTTTCAGACCCTTGACACCCAGGACACAGGCTAAAACAGAAAGGCCACCCTTCTGCTGTGATTTGGCCTGTGTACCCTTACTGATAGAGGAAAAAGAAGCTACTTAAATTAATTACACTTATAATTTTCTTTAGTAATGATCTAATATGGATAAGCCCCAGTAATTTACCCTGTTAAAGTCTAAATCCTGGATCCCTAAAGAGTCCCAGAGGAGGTTTATACCATGCACAAGAAGAATGCTCTTCGCATAGGGCAAATTCAAACATTTTTTTTTCCTTTTACATTATTGAAGTGTTAGAGGTAAAGTATAATGATGTCATGTTTTAAATCTGACTATAAAATTAAGTAAACAAACCTTGAAAAGAGTAATTAGGCAAATGCAAAGTACATAATTACAGAACTCCAATTATGTGATGTGGCGAGATAATATAAAGGCAAAACTGGACAAAACCATGTGAAAAGAGCAAAGAGAATCCAAAATTTTAAAAAGACCCAGTTTTCTCTTTTACTTGGAATTATTTGGTGGCAGTCACTACTACCTATCACAGTTTTCTTCTGAATAATGTAAGAAAAGATCAGCAACTACTAATGATTTGCTTCATGAAATATGAGACCAGACTACCAGCTTGTAAAATGATGGCAAAGAAACAGGGAAAGACCTTTTCCTGTTTCTTTGGAGTCATCCATCAGTACAGTACAGCTTCTGTTGTGATCATGCTGCAAAATTTAGCATACATGAAAAAAGAACAAAAAGTACCTGTAGCCACATGAAAAATGTGGCACTAGGCAACAAAGCTTGCTATTAATGGATACAAGATCTTAAAACTTAAATGTGCCTATTCATATTTCAATGTGACAGTCATTCAGGAGAGGAAGCACAGCGACAGTGACAGGCAGCACGTCGATAAGCGCTGTGAGAACAGGGAACACAGAGTACCAGGGGAGCTGCATACTGGGCTCCTTACCCCCTGATTCTGTGGTGCCCTTCTTGTTCAGGATTTTCAGGATATCTTTGGTAATCTTCTTCAGCTGGTGCCTGGCTTCGTCACGCTCTTTTCCGACTCCATAGAGAAGGATTGTGCGTTGGTTACATTCATGACTTGAAGATTCATCCTGCAAGACAGCAAATGCCTTCTGAAACCTGTTTGCAGGGCTGGGCTGGAGGTGTATTTTGCACCCCTGAAATGCACTAACCACAGTCTCTCCATGCGGGCTTGCAGAGGTGGCATCTACCTGCTTTGCAAGTTATTTCAACCTCCACTGGCCAACACCCTGTTTTTCCAGTTTGGAACATGCTAAATTTAAAAAATAATAATAAAGTGTCAACTGACCTGAAGCATTTGATGTGGGCGTACCCTAAAGAGTAAGTTCTGACTATCAGAAAACTTTTCATTGTCTAAATTGAATAAGGTATTAATTTTACATCATTTAATTAGTTATACTACTAAGGAAAATGTTATTTCCTTAGTAAGCTTGGTTTGAAATATATGGCAATAACATATATTTTAGACTTAGAAAAAAATTCTTGGTAGGACCTTCAAGTTATCTAGAAAAAAATGCTCCATTTACTTCAAAATAACTGTATTAGATATTTGTATTTATTATCAAATGACAAAAAACTAAAGTGGAGATCTCATTAGGTTTGAGCCAAGCAGCTGGAAACCACTGCTCATCTCTTCTGGACCCCAAAACCCTTAGATCACTACGGTGAATCGAAAACCTACTTTTTCCCTTGTGAAAAAATTAATTACTAAGTCACCAGTAACAAATACGAACACAGTCCTGAGCACAGTCCTTAGCCCAAAGTAAGTAATACATGATGTGTTCTCACTTATGACTGGAGTTCAGTTTTTCTATGTTAATCTTTCCTTTGTCTTTTTTTTTTCTTTTTTTCCTTTTCTGAGTAGGTTTTTTTCAGCTCGACCTTTCGTTTATCTCCTTTTGTTACTCTCTGCACATACTTGTCCAGACCAGGGCTTACCTGTTCCACTAACCTCTTCCTAACTAGTGATGGCTGCAAACAGCCTAAACCTTCAGATGTGGGGAACGAACGCCACTGCTACCTGGAGAACTCTATGTGCCTGCCCTGCACGCAGCATGTCTGTGTCTCCAGCGGAGGAGTTGGTACTGTTTCCATTCTGCAACTCTCACTCCTTCCCCTTCTTGGGCACATTCGCCGTCAGGCCACACTCAGTTACAGTGCTTCCTTTTTCCCATACTGTTAGAAATAATATACATTTGCACACCCTGATGACTTATCTTGCCATAGCCCTCCACTAATTCTTAATGTTCTAAGTGTCCCAATTTTGTCTAAAGAAGGCAACATCTCTTCCCACACCAAGCTGCTCTTCCTTAATTTCCTGAGCACACCTCCCTCAATTTTTAAAAGATAGATCTAAGTGCAGGATAAAGTGGATAAAGACAGCAATTCCTATACCTGGCTACATACACGAACAGGCTGAGCTGCTGGATAATTTCAACTTTAAGTTGTTACAGAGAATTACTGATGCATATTGACAGGCATGATGTGTACATGTAAGCCCTATGAAGAAAACAGGAACACCCTGAAAAAAATGTGTGTTCACCACCTCAGGTGGTGCCCGTCATGTTTCTGGGGACTATCTGCAGTAAGGTATATGCCAAAAGGCCCTAATGTGACATCTTCGTGAGAGGTGACAGAAAGCTACTCAACAACTTTACAAATTATGCACCGAAGGCAGGAAAATCTGCTAGCAATCCTGAGCAAATACAAGGGCATATGTCTCCTGTCTTCAAGGATGAAAGACAGACTCCTCACAAAAGTAGTAACAGCAGAGCTAGAGGTCCAAACAGGGACAGAGGGCAGGGTCCTCCCCGAAAGACCCACATACTCATAACAATGTGGGCAGTCACAGCCAGGGGCTGAGAGGGTTGGGACTGCATCACAGTCATGACATTTAACTCTGTGATCCTACCCAATGAATCTAGTTCCTAATCTCAGATTCCTCTGCTAAAGAATGGGGTAATGTCATCTTTCTTGCAAAGTGTTAGGAGATAGCGTACATAAACAGCTCACCGCTGGCACTTCATATTCTAGACTTCTACTCCTCCGCATACCCAGGCCCACACTGCACTTCACTGGTCAGCATTTCCCACAAACATAGTGCATCCTTCTACCACCTAAACACCTGATTTCACTTGCTGAAATGCCAAGTACTGGCACAGTGTCAGATCTCTCGCTCTGCCCCCTGGTTTATCAGAGGCTGCACCACACAAGGCCTAGGAGGGGAGGAGAGTTTGAAGAATTTACCATATGGAACTTTTTAAATTAATGGCTGTCTTCCTTAGTAGATTATCATTCTCTTTAGTAAGCACTGAGCTGGCACTTAATAATTGTTGTAACACCGAATACAAAGTAAGTCAGCAGACTAATGAGCAAAGACATCGATAAAGGAGATGGGCAAAGGGGAAGACAAAAGCAGTTTTGCAGGAAACCACCTGTTGTTAGAGTGCTAAGAAAATTGGAAGAGAAGCAGGAGGCAAAGAGAAAGTTAATTTCTGTGTAGAAAGCTGTCTTAACTATGACAATGAAGACAATGAAAATCTAAGCGGCAGTTAAAGAAGCAGATACTGGGGTCCAAAGGGGGATATGCAGAATGATGAATTTAATTGATTCAACTTGTAAAATTCATTGGAGAAAAAGAATTGGAAATACATGATAAATGTGTATTTGGCTTGATGTGGGCACTCGTGTAGGTAAGAGTTCAGGGGTAAAGACAGCAAGGTCAAATCCTGGGAGGAGCTTGAGAAAGGGCTACATCCTCTTTAGGCGAGACGAGCAGGGCACTGAAATAGTGGAAGCGTAAATAAACCCTCACATGATGCACACCCATGTTTCTTTCACTGCTGAGACGCTCTGACAATGCAGGACCACAGTAATCAGGAGAGGTCCATAAAAATCGGGGCCATCAACACCATCAAGTGGAGTGAAGTCACAGTAAATGATTTCTCTGGTGTCTTTACTGAAAAGTCCTGTAAACCTCAAAACAAGTTTTTCTAGAGTAGTTGGGGAAGACAGCACAAAACAGTGGGTTAAAGTAAGAGCTGCTGTGAAAGGGAAGGGCTCTAGAGGAGATTCACATATATTAGAGGCTAAGCATGAAGAACAGAACAAGGTTAAGAATTGGAGAGTGTCTAGCCGGTCCTTTTCCCTGCCCAGTGAATGTATCCTTTCAGGAATAGACATTAGGATAATTTTGGGGTGTTGGTCTCAGATCATTAATATTGCTCACAACTATGCAAAGTGGGGATGCTTAGATACGAAGCTGAGAGTGGAAACCACTACTATGTATGAAATTAGTTGTTCTGTATTCATTGGCTGACTGCAGGTGTGTTCCAATGGTTGAATTAGGAACAAGAGGGAAAATCAGATTTGAATAACATCAAATTCTTGTTGCAAACTTATGACACAAATAAAGAATCAACTTTGCAGAGCAGATTACTGATAACAGAGGTAAGAAAATGGGCTGCCCTCGAAATTAAAACAAAACCACAGGGAAAGAAAATTCACGAACAGACACGAAGAAGTGAGAAATCTGAAGTTCATATCAGTCTATTGGGTCTGATCCGCTTGGGGAATTAAGCCAAGAAGTAAAGTCCTGACTGGTGAGAGAGAATGGAATGAAACTCCAGGGCAGCACGCAGTGATCTGGGGAGGGCTGGGTAAGCTACTGCAGGGGCAGCAAGACCACACTGACTTGCAAACTTCAGTATTTTCAGGGAAATAGCAGTAGCCATTACTGCATGGGCTTCCAAACAGAGGAGGCAGAAACATCTTAAAGCTGCTCTTTTCTTGGTAGGCTACAAGATTTGTTGACTCTCTTTTTTTGTACATGGTGAAAATGTACAAATCTTCACATGGAAATTTTTAACAACTGAGAAGCAACTCAGCCAATGAACACACAGCAAATACTTCCAGAGGTGTTAGTGGTTTCCACTCTCGACTTAGTATCTAAGCATCTCACGTTGCAGAGTGTACGCAATATTAATGATATGAGACCAGCACCCAAAGATTGTCCTAATGTCTATCCCTGGAAGGGTGCTTGGCAGGGAAAAAGACCAACTAGACACACTACAAAAGTTCCAAGGTTGCTTTTAGGCTAAGTATTATGGATTGAACAGACCACATGCCCTGTAAACTGAGATCTGAAAATACCTTTCTTCAGATCAATTACTTCTTTTCCGCAGATTTGACAACGTACTCACAGAGCCTTAACTTACTAAGAAATCAGGAGATGGCACCTGTAAAACCACAGAAGGCTCACTCCACTGTAGAAATTTTAAAACTGACTCTTCAGCAAGACAGCCTTAAGAGGAAATATGGAGTTAGTGAAATTAAGATCTGCTCTAAGGCATCTTAACTTCTTTAAAATAATTATTAAGAATTGTTCCCAAAATGTGTGTATATCTCAAAGTGTGATAATAGGGCTGACATAATCAGAGATATGCGTTCTCCTTACCCTTGGTCAGATTTCCTGATATTTCTATAGTGATTCAATGATCACGAATATTAAAATTAGTGAACTAATATTTAAAGGTAACATTCTTAAAATTCTGAAAATATATATGACAAATAGTTGAATTACATTTGTAATGGTAGAAGTCATACTTTCTCAAAGCACTTTGACTTGACTTTGTATGCTTGAATATTCAAATGGAAGCTTACTGTGCATCATAGTAAGCTAAACATGATGTCCCACCGCATCTTTTTTCTTTTTTGAAGGTTTATTTATTTTATGTGTACAAGTGTTTGGCTGTATTTATGTATGCATGTGTACCAGGGATACCAGAGCAGGGTGCCTGAGCTGCCATGTGGATTCTGGAAACAGAATCCTGGTCCTCTGCAAGAGCAATTAACTGTTCTTAACCTTTGAAGCATCTCTCCAGCCCCATGTGTTGCCTTTAAGAAAAAATATAAAACCAGTTTTTCAAAACAAAGAATTTGTACAGCTCAATGTGAGAGTACTTGTCTAGCACCATGGAGGCGCTGATTCAAACTTTAGTACTAAGTAAACAAACAAATAGACAAGCATAGTATAAAAAAATTAAAATAAAAATATCAAAAGATGCTTTTGAATATCATCTCTTTCAGCTGAATCTCTCAACAGAGCCACATTATATTGTTCAGAGAAAACTAGCTCAGATGACTGTCCCATCAGTAGCCAGCTTGGGCTGGGGGAAGAAGGGACGTGCACGTGTTGAGAGAGAAGGCGGTGTACCAGAGCAAGAAAACTGGCAGGTTGTTTTAATCAGTTATTATGCTTGAATAATAGCATTTTTATATAAATCAAGAAAAGACAAGTTTAATCATATTTGTGCCAGAAATTTTTGTTGTTCGATACTTACAGCCCACAATACACTAGTCCTCTGATTTCAAGCAAAATACTAAAGATGAGAATGGCCTAGACCACAAGAGACAACATTCTTTCTTGCTAAATAGCCCCAACATCCAAGAGTCTCTACTTTTTGAATTCTATTGTATGAATAACCTAAACTATTACACTCACGTCAATGACACTAAGCTAGCTAACAGAGTCATGCACTAGCATAATAAATGCTCTTGATTAAAATATTCACTAATGTCAAAATGATCACATTTAGAAGCATAAAAGACATGAGAATTAAGAGATCCCAATTGCTAATCAAGTACCTTAATTACATCACCTGAATCATCCTGCCCACAGTTGGATTCACAAGGACCAGAGACACTTACCATCTAAAGGAATGGTCCCTGGGATTTCAGAGTAATACTTTTTGAGTCAAATATTTTAAGATGAACAAAAAGTATTATCTTCAATATATTTGCAAAATAAAATAACCCATTTGAAGTAAATTTTCTGGTCACCTTTTAATTTATCTTAATCACAGAAAATAAATAAAGTTCCCAATAATACATGCTATATGTACTGATATTATTTATTAATTTGAGGGGGGACTAGAGTGCCCAAATTCTTCCACTATATGATAATAAATAGTTTTAAGATGAGACATCTTCCACCTAAAGATTCTCTACTGAGAATGCTCTAGGTATTTGACAATATATACTCTCAGTAAGAAAGTATAACTTAAGAATTTTCAATTGGTTTTCTTTTCTTAGGGCAGATTGATTCATTGAAGATAACAATTTTCCTGTAGATTTGTTTTATTTGAAGACGTCTGTAATGTGCTATACATCATTTGGAGTTCATGTGTTATAAAGGCAAATGTGGGGCTTATTTGATTAGAAAGGCACGCAGCCACTCCCTACAAGGCATTCAGCTCTCATTCCTGGGCCTCAAGGAGACTGTAGCGATGGCATGGGGAGCACCTTGGTACAAAGGCAGCTCTGGGACCAGACAACACGGGTTGAAATGGAATCTCCAGCTAACCTGGTTGTTCCAGTCGGGTTCCCTTACCCAAGGAATGGAGACAAAATGAGTATTCCGAGAGAGTAACTGAAATAATAAAATAATTCAGGGGTTAAAGAGATGGCTCAGTGGTTAAGAGTACCTACTGCTCTTCCAGAGGACCTGAGTTCAGTTCCCACCACCCACATCAGTTGGCTCACACTTCCTGTAACTTCAGCTCCAGGAGATCTGACACCTCTGGTCTGTGAGGAAATCTGCACTCAAACGCACAAACCCACATCAGGGACACACATATGCACATAAGCAAAAATAAATAAAAATGGTTAATTCATGTCAGTATAAGAAAGCAAATGTTGGCTATCATTATTTTGAAGCAAGATTCTTTTATCAAGTATTTCAGGTGTTCAAATCAACAAATAAGGGAAGTTTAATTAGCTTTGCTTACTATGATTAATTAAAAAAAAAAAAACATATAAACTCTCCAGAAAGTTTAAAATCAAACTAATGCTTCTTTTTGGGTAACAACCATATGGGTATTACATATTGAAACTTGATACTAACATGAGTGAAATTGATAGCTTGGTTTTAAATTACAAGGGCAGCAAAATTCTTGTGTTTATTTAAATCAATGATTCTCAGACTTTAGCGTGCCTGCGCATCACGTCAAGGTCAAAAAGTGAATAGGGGTTTCTGGCTCATGGCGACTAGTCATGTACCCAAGTATACACATTTCTAAGAAGTCCCCAGGTGACGCTGAGCTGCCACTTTGCACTGTGGCTTTGAAAACCATTGTTGAAGAGATTTAACAAGGGCCGACACTCAAAACTCAGAAAAACCAAAGTATCTGTCCCTAGTAAAGGCCTCTACCCAAATGGCTTTACTGTTAACGGGGGGCCAATTCTGTTGGATATATTATGCTTGTGTCTACAAGTGCAATTTAACTGTTTGCATATGCATGAGCCAGCAATACTTATATAAATGTAAAGCAGTACCAAGTTTAAGTTTCAATTTCCCTCCTACTATGTATTTTACCTTTTGGGTTAAAATTAAAGATTTACAAATGATAGTGATACAAAGATGACTTAATTTAATGTTATCATTTTTTACCAAACTCGACACTGAAGAAAAATTGTCCATTATCTATGATCTATTCAAGAAAACCATGCAGGTTGCTTTATACAATAAGCCTTGCAAATGGATACAACTGCTTTTTCTTTTCTAATGCAATTTGGGAATCTGATAATTTATAATGGGAGGAAGCTGTGTGGCCCAAAAAAGAAGTTAATCAAACACAGATTTAAAATAATGACATTACTAACAAAGGATAAAAGCAAGAAGCAAAAGGCTTAACATCCCCTAACCAACACACATTTTGAAATAACTTAATTAGTTGCTAGAAGGTAATATATCATCCAACTTTGAGCACACTATGTTTTCACGTGAACAGCCATCCGAGAAAGCAAGTTTGCAGCCTTCTACAGAAATAGACTCTGAAGACTTTATCTCAATTTGGATTTATCATTTATCTGCATGGAAAACGACCAAAAGAACTCCAACTTATAGATCATGAATTCTATTGCAGGTTTTAGAAAAAGCCACAACATCTTAAATTACTTTTTAAAAGATGACTTCTCAGCTACCATGCCCCATATTTCCCAAGAAATAAAAGGAGAAGTCCTAAAAACAGTCCTGAAACAGACAGATTCGGTGTCTGCATAGCTTTGAGTGTGCAGTGTTGAGGGTGATCTCTGACTGGGATATTCCGTCTTCCCCACCTCTTTCTCTCTGTTTCTCTCTAGAACACTCAAGACTTCTCTGTTGAAAACTCAGCAAATCCTCTATCACAGAGAGGGTTGGCAACTAAACTAAGACACTGAGAGAAAAATACCAGATGCCGGTCTGCAAGTCGCACTATTATTTCTGGAAACATTCAAATCCTTCAGAATCAACAGAATAACCAGGTAATGTTGTATTAGCATTTGACAGATATGCAATTATACTATGAAGTAAAAACCTTAAATAAAAATAAAATAAGATGCATATATTTGGGGTAAAACTTAAGATCAAATCTTATTAGAGGTGTTGAAGATAACCATTAAGTGCTTCACTAAGAAAATATGCAAAGCATGGAAAAATATAAATGATTTGACTTTAACCTTGACTACAAATGAGATTTAATTATAGACAGAGGGAGCTGAAATTCTCAATGTAAGGAAAACTTGTTATATAATTTACCTACCGTATAAAATGTACATTCACAAGGCAGAATTGTTTAAGGTGTCAAAGAATGAATGGGTTAGGGCAAAGCACAGTAGCAAATAAACATCAGTGATCTAGTGTCAATAATGCTAGCTCTCATTTGTTTACTAAAGGATCAAATAAGAGGCAGAGAGGTGGCAGAAAGTGAAACATTCATGAAAATATAATTCTTGTTTAATTTTTAATAATTAATTCCATTGGCACTTGGAGAAAATTCACGCCGGCTTCATGTGTCATGTGACATCTTTTATATGGAAGCTTTGTGGAGTTTTAAATTTAGATATTTGTGCTTTGATCATGACTGAATATGAGGAATTCTGTTTTATGTAAAATCAGTTCTATTTGCTTGATGAAAAATTTAAAAATTAGAAATTTCACCTTAATTTTCAACATTTAGATGCCATAGAGCAGATTCAAGTCAACTGTTACTTTTCCTTAAACTGCCTGTTGTAGTGATCATTTACGAGCATACAGAAGATCAATTTTATTTTATTTTAACTACCATTACAATACCCCAGAAAGTATGCCCTGACTGATTTGAGAACTGTCAAGTAATGGCCACATATAGATAGGGCTGTCTCCTTGCTTTTTGCTGTTTTATCACACTGAATGATATTCCAGAAAAACTATGTAGAAATTGAAATATAATGAGCAAGTTGAAAATGAGTGAGATGCTCATGAACTGAAAACACTCCAAGCTAAATAATGAGTCCCCATGAGGGAGGCTGGTGTTTAAATGCATGATGGGGAATATATGGGCAGGAATACCTCCTAACATACAGGAAAATGTTTGGGCTTTTTATACTGTTTAATTTACTGAATACATTTCCCAAGAGTGATTTCACACCAATTTCGTTGCACTTTTATTTTATAATTCTAGCTTTTCCTTTGAACTCTTTGATGACACTGAAGTACATAAAGCCAGGAGTAAGGGTTAGGAGCAGGAAAGGGAACTATAAACATCATCAAAAATGCTAAGGCCTGAAAATAAAAGTAGGAAAAAACAAAAGCATAGCATCACTGAAACTTCAGTCTTCAGTTTCCTCTGATAATTCCCACTAACTGCAACAATAAAGACAAGAAAATTCAAGTTTTAGGGAAAGCTATTCCTGAAAAAATCACGCACAGAGATACCAGCCGAACTAATCACATGGGACTAAATCCAACCACCCTTCCTTTACTCTAGGAATTAGCACCGCAGCAATGTCTGGGGTAGACAATGCCACCTCTGCACCTGGGAACAGCAGCCTGTGCAGCAGGGACCACAAGATCACCCAGGTTCTCTTCCCACTTCTGTACACAGTCCTGTTTGTTGTCGGACTCATAACAAACAGCCTGGCAATGAGGATTTTCTTTCAAATCCGCAGTAAATCCAACTTCATTATTTTTCTTAAGAACACAGTCATTTCCGATCTTCTCATGATTCTAACTTTTCCATTCAAAATTCTTAGTGATGCCAAGCTGGGAGCTGGGCCTCTGAGAACCTTTGTGTGCCAAGTTACCTCCGTCACATTTTATTTCACAATGTATATCAGTATATCATTTCTCGGACTGATAACCATCGACCGCTACCAGAAGACCACCAGGCCTTTTAAAACCTCCAACTCCAGCAATCTCTTGGGGGCCAAGATACTCTCTGTCCTCATCTGGGCCTTCATGTTCCTACTTTCTCTGCCTAACATGATTCTCACCAACAGGAGGCCAAAAGACAAGAACGAGAAGAAATGCTCTTTCCTCAAGTCAGAGTTTGGTCTGGTTTGGCATGAGATAGTCAATTACATCTGCCAAGTCATTTTCTGGATTAATTTTTTAATTGTCATTGTATGTTATACTCTCATTATAAAGGAACTCTATAGGTCCTATGTAAGAACAAGGGGCATAGGCAAAGTCCCCAGGAAAAAGGTGAACATCAAAGTTTTCATTATCATCGCTGTGTTCTTTATTTGTTTTGTTCCTTTCCATTTTGCACGAATTCCCTACACACTGAGCCAGACCCGAGATGTGTTTGACTGTACTGCTGAGAACACCCTGTTCTATGTGAAAGAGAGCACTCTGTGGTTAACGTCCTTGAATGCATGCCTGGATCCGTTCATCTATTTTTTTCTTTGCAAGTCATTCAGAAATTCCTTGACCAGCATGCTGAAGTGCTCAAATTCTGCAACATCTCCATTTGGAGAAAACAGGAAGAAAGGACAGGATGGTGGAGACCCAAGTGAGGAGACCCCAATGTAAACAGTTACCTGAAGAACTGTTTTGAACTGCTGTTGTTCAAACTCCTCCAAAATCACCATGTAAAATTATTAACATTGACTAAAAAGCTGAGTTAACAATGACTCTTCAAACATGGAACAGATTACAAAACTAATCTTTATCTACTCCAGTAAAAAAGCTATCTTAAAATGGAGAATAAGACCTAAATCTGCAGATATGTAATAAAACAAACTGTATCCCATTGCTATGCTGCAGGCAAAACTGCAAGGAATCCATGGTTTAAAAAGTTTCCACAAAATAAAAATTGTGCAACATCTACAGTCATTTTTAAATCCGTTAATAATCACAGTTTAATTTTTTTCTAATCAACTGAAAAACAATGATCAATCTCATACATCAAGCATAGTAAGTACTGACCTTTAATTTATTTCTAAGGGAAAAAAAATCCTCAGCTACTTAAACTAAATGAAAAGGCATTTGATGAATTATTATAAATGTTCATTAGAAAATAGACATTTAAAAAATCTCTTTCTATGAAGAACAGACATAGTGAATGAAATCATTAACATAAACAAAGGCACTTTTGTAACATCCTAATACTAAAATTCCTTATCCACACTTAACACTGGAGGAAGCATTTTTTACTAACCCGCTGGCAATTCCATGGGCACAGTTCTTATCACTGACATCTTTATTAACCAGCACTGGACATGCCTATTACTTGAATGAATGAACACTTTCCCTTCATAAGAAAAATGAATTAAATACGATTAACAAGGCAACATAACTACCACAAGACAGTGACTGAACTATTTGAGATTACCTCTCTGCATTTGTGTTTATAATACAAAAAATCACATGTATTCTACATCATTTTGTTGTAATTTCTTTGTTCAACAGTATTAGATATTACGGTTCAACCTCCCTCCCCTATATTAAATGTCAATCCCACTTAAGAATTGTCAACAGGGTTTGAGTACATGCTATTGTGAAATGGCTCTTCAAATAATGATGTCATGCTTACAAGTTCTCATGCAAATAATAAAAGAGGTGAGATTTGCAGTCAGATTTCATACAAGTCATATTTGGTATGCGCATTGTATTTTTATTTGTAATTGACACATTGCTGGTGTATACTTATGGGGTATGGTGTAACATCTCAATTCATGTGTATAATTAATAATCACCGTATCAGGGTCATATTGGATAGCTTTAAAATAAACAAAATCTTTAACGTGTGAGAGTTCAATTATTAATTGTCTCAATTATTAATAGTCCTCAGAGGTAATGCTCTCAAACAAAAGATGAAATAGATGCTAGTGTCTGGATATTATGCCGAAAGAAACAAAAGCATAGATTACAGCAGAGAGAAGTTGGGTGAGCTTCCTTAATTCTTTTCTAAACTCAACACAACTTCTTAAGTTACATTTCAGTACAAAGCTGAACATGTCTAACTCTTTAGGCAGCATCTATTCTCAAGTGCCCACATTTTCTTCTCACAGGGAGAAGCAGATACTAGAGAGGGACGCAGAGACTGTCAAAAATGTACATGTGTGGGCTGGGGATACTGCACAGTGGGGGAGCTCTTGCCTAGCAATGCACAAGGTCCCAGGTTCAATCTCAAATACTGCAATAAGTCATTTTTGACACGGCACTTCACTATTAGATGCATATCTTCACACTTCCTAAGAATATAAGAATGTGTAGAATGGGAGAGAATCTATAGGTCAACTATGTTATTTTCTATATGAAACGAATCAAGAATGCCTACATCCTTCAAATCAAATCATCCAATTCAGAATACAGAGTGGACAAAAGCTCTTCATCAGTGTCCCATGAGGTTGTATGTGAGTGTGCTGAGAGACTGTCCAAGGCCTGAAGACTACCTGAAAAATCCTTCCTTTTGAGTTACACAAATTCCTTGTGATATTTTCCCAAAAGAGACAGATAAATAATGCTAACAGTATTGTGGTATCTTAATAAAAATAATTTTTATTTTATTCACATTCCAGTAAACTATCTGGAATGATATATGTTTTATAGTTATGTATATCTAACATGAAATTTTACTCTAACCTCTAAATTACATGTTGGTAGGGTTTATTTATTGAAAGACAATACACACCACACACTCCTACATGAAACTAAATCCATTCAAAACAGTTGGAAAGGTCGGCATGTGGCTCACACCTATAATCCCAGCACTCAAGAGGATCACTTCATCAAGAATAGCCTGGTCTACACGGCAAGTTCCAGGCCAGCCAGGGCTATACAGAGAGAACCTGTCAGCAAATAAAATACCCCAAACAAACAAACATAGTCTGAAAGGTCACTATTAGCAAGTGTCCACTACACATAGAATATGTCACTATTTCCAGCTTCAGATACACTGACGTATATAATAAACCCCACATCTCACACTTCCAAACAAATTTTGTTTTAAAAAAAGTGAAGCCAAATTTTGTATTTGTAGCCACAGAAGTGAACCATTGAAAATATGAGCCAGGACAATGTAGTCCTACCCAACAGCTCAGTGGCTTATCAGGCCTGAGGATACTAGTAATTGGCATTTTCTGTCAAATATTTCTCATAGAAAGTACATAAAACAGTCCTTGCCAAACTACAGTCCCAGTTCCACATCCCAGCTCACCACATTTTTTAACAACTTATGATCTAAATAATCTCCTTATATTTTAAGCAGAATGAAATTTTGTGTCACTTAGAATTTATATGAAATTCAAATTTCAGTGTCCATAGTGAGGTTTCAATGCAACACAGCCATCCTATTCAGGCATTATCTAAGGCTTTGAGGCCACAGGAGTAGAGCTGAGCTGTGGCACTGGAGACCGTACAGCCTGCATCACTTAAAATATTTCCCATTTGGTCCCTTTTAAAAAGAGCAGTTTTCCACTGGCTATGGTGGCACGCGCCTTTAGTACTTGGGGGTGGTATGTGCGCCAGTACTTGGGAGGCAGAAGCAAGTGGATCTCTGTGAGACAGAGGCCAGCTTGGTCTATAAAGTGAGTTCCAAGCCAGCTGGGGCTACAGGGAGACCCTGTCTCAAAAGACCGCCCCCCCTCAAAAGTATAATGGAACTATAAGAGCAATTCAAATGGATGCTAAAAGCTCTTGGAATGTGATCATAATTAAGAACTTTGGGGCAGGAAAAGCTCCAGAGACAAGAGATAGAAATAGGCAAGGTGAACAAGAGTCTTCTCTCCTGCCCTCTGCAATTATGATTACCCAGGATAGAAATCTTTGCTTGCCAAGGCTTTCACATTCCTGTGATCTTGCTACCGTAAACCTGCATGTATGGGTTTACTTAATTATCACATATGTGCTGTTTTGCCTTTTACTTGCATTCCTCACATATGAATATAAAGGCCCCCCAAAACTTGAGTGGGGGGCTGGCTCCTTCATGGAATGACCCATGGGTCAATCCCCCTAGTGGAAGAATAAGCTCCCTCTCCTCACCTGACTTTGGATGTTGGTTTCTGAATTTTCCGTTAACAAAAGTAGTTTTCCAACCCTTGAGTTGCTATTTTCACAACAGAGTGAAAAACTCCAGATACAGAGCCCTCTCTTCACACAGGCTTTTCATAACTTTGTGTTGAAAAGGGTTGATCGTTGTTGGTGAGAAATGTGTGGTTAGAGCATCACCAGTAGGAAGCAAAAGTACGGAAATATAGTTACTATCATAGGCAACAAGAAATGGCTGGATTTAGTAAAATGGGGATTAAACATGAGAAGGCACTTTCCAAGAGAAAAATAGACAATATAAAAATGAAAGCACACGTGCTGCTTAAAATATAAATACTTACTTATACAATGTGTTTCATCTATAATTTTCTAATTGGTTTAAATATTTTTAATAAAAATTAGAAAATTCTGCCCTTGATGGAACTATAAATTGGTACAAACTTTCTGGAAAACTTTTTGAAAATACCATTCAACATTCTGATACATAACTCTTTGGCTGTTGCTGTTGTTATTGTTATTTTGAGAAGGGGTCTCCCTATAGCCCAAGATGGCCTCGATCTCAGAGGGCTCCTCCTGCCTCTCCCTCGCCAGTGCTGGGATTAAAGTTGTATGCCACTATGCCTGGTGTTGATATATAAATCTCAATCAACCATTCTTACAAATATGTCCAAACAAATGCATAAGAATGTATGAATGTGTATGTGTACTACAGTACTATTTGGGGAAAAACTACGAACAAATCAAATGCACATCAACAGCAGCCTAACTCAAACATGGGAGATTCATATATTGATGATGATGATCAATGTGTATGTACTAACATGTACCAAAACAAAGGCCCGATGTATAAATATATATTCACATTGGTATAGATACTGGAAATCAACCTTCACTTTCTTCTACCTACACATTTGTATTTGCATTTTTTAAATCATGGTGTGCATGTTTATCTATGATGTGTGTACATGTTTTTCTATTATGTGTGTACATGCAGGCACCTTTGTGTCATGGCACACGTGTAGAGATCATAGGAAAACCTCGGGCCCTGTCCTCACTTTCCACCTTGAGACAGTGTCTTTTTCGCTGCTGTGCACACCAGGCGAGCTGCAGCATAAGCTGTGCATGCCAGGCGAGCCGCCTCATAAACTGCTAGGGTTCCTGTCTCTACCTCCAAATCTCAAGCTAGGAGTGCTGGGATTACAGATTCACACTACAGTGTCCAGCGTTAGGGGGATTTGGAAAATCTGAACTCATGTCCTCATGCTTGGTGTGTCAAGTGCTTTAATCCACTGAGCCAGCTCCCTAATTCCGCATTTGAATTTTCAAACACATTTTTTATGATAAAAAAACTTGAAACTAAATATGAACTACTTCAAATGATACTGTGAATTTATCGCCCATTTACAGTTATTTTTTTTCCTAATACTTATTTCCAAATAGATTATTGCACTGACTTTTAAAATTTACAGACTGTTTATTATCACTTTTGATTACTCTACTATGGAAATTTTAAAACAATTTTCACACACTCCGAGGAAAGTACCCTGTATACTTCAGAGGAAATAAAAAGTCTTTTCTAGGAATACAGGAGGTCCCATTTCAATTTTCGTCCTAAATGAAGCAAACACTTCCTCAACTTTTCAGGTATTTTTAGGTGATACTGATTAGCCACATCAATAGAGATACTTTCACTGATAATCCTGATCAAACCGAGAAATCCCAAAGGAGACTAGGAATGGAGGCAGCAGATGACTCCTGTGACAGAAAAATTCATGGTCCTCCTTTGACTGCTTCCTGACCATACTGTTTGACAAGCTCCATTTCCAACCTCAAACTCTAGTTTGTAGCAGATAGTTCCACAAGTTCATTCAATTTCATAGATTTTGTTTTTTCATGTATGAATCAGTGACTCTCAGTTTAAGGATTCCAGAATTTGGCAAGTCACAACACAATCACACTATACCTCTGAGGGAGGAGAGTAAGGCGGGTTAAGGTGCAGGGTCTCAAGACAGCGATGGGTTTGCGGTGATCTCTGCTGACATGACTTAGGGGAAAATGTTTAATTTTTAATTTCTACATTTGGGTTTTTCATCCCTGTAATAAAGCCAGTCTCTGAGGAATGTTGCAAGAATTATGATAATATAGTCACCTATAATAGCATAGTTATCGTGGTTTAATTGTTTTTAACTATATTTTGTTAGCACACTAGGATTTCAAATGTTTAGATTATTCCCACTTGGCAGGCTCCTAAATTCTCAGACTTTTCTTTGCATGTTCTACAATTCTCTCTGGCTTTCATGAGCTAAACACATACGTATTACAATTTTCTTTTAAGCTGATTTAGCAAGAAGCTTGTGTGACACCTCCCAGGACAGGCATGATTCTAAGCACATGGTAGATAGCTATTCATTTTATTCTCTTAACAACTTAATTAAGCACGTACTATTATTAACTTTCATTGTAAAGAGATGGTAATCATTTCATAGAGAATGAAAACGACTTGCCCAAAAGGACAAGTAAGGTGCTGGACAAGGACTTGGGCCCAGGTCCTCGGGTTCCTCAGGCAGTGTTTCATGCTGCTCTGTGGAACAGCTCTCAGATGGCTCCTTTAAGGCAAAAGGCCTCCTCCAGCAGGCACTGGCACTGCTGGGAGTTAAGGGAGAATCAGCTAATGTATTTTCCAAGGTAAAGCACTTTGAAACTCTCACTGTTAAAATAATGCACTTTTGGGCCAGTGAGACAGCTTCATATGTGAAAGTTAATCCTAACAACTTAAGCTCCATCCCAAGGACCCAAATGGTGACAAGAAAAAACTTGGACTCAACTTATCCTCAGATTTCCATATATAGTGCCATGATGTATGCATACACAAACACACACACACACCCACGCACACGCACACACAGAGACAGAAACAGAGAGACAGAGACACTGAGAGAAATAGATAAATAAGTGTAATTTACAAACAGAAAAATGCACTTTCGTAACTCTAGAAATGGGCACTGTTACCAGTTCCTCTTTTCAAAGTTTCCCACATTTGGCATTTTAAAATTTGGCCAAAATATGATTTTCAGTTTTCATATTATAAAACTATCCTGTACAGAATTCCCCTTGTTTAAAGTGAAACTCTCCAAAGCTTCGTCTCAATTTGAGCTAAAAAGAAACTCTAATTAGATATGTAGGCTAAAAGTCTCTATTATAAAAATAACTTTTTCTTAGTTTTTTATCCTTTTATGAAACAAAGATATATTTAAATTATGTGCCATTATATTAGTAAAATATTGAATCAGCAATCCCCCAAACCAACATATTTCAATGAAAGAGAAGAATTTTAAACTGTGTCACCCATTACAGAGCCCCAACCTAATTTATTAGGGTTAAAAGGATGTGAAATTTATATAGTCAGAATCCTAAACCAAGTCTCCCAGAATTTCTGATCAACCCATCAGCAATCCAACTCTACAGTAAGCTGGTAGAAAGAAATATGAAATGAAACTCACCATAGAAAACCCCACATCCTCCATTAGTTCTAATTTCCTCTTTCCCTTCACCTATCTGGAGGGGAAGCCTACAGTCAAAGATAGTAACTTTCTCTACGCTTCAAGAGATTTAAAGAAAAACTTGTACAGACCTTGGCCCAATGCTGATTCATGAAATCCCTGAAGTCTCAAGCCTGCAGATGGTTTCCCAAAATGGCTTTCTAAAAGTGAAATGCCAATAACATATCTTCACTCCAGTTAGCAATGCAGGCACGCAGCAGTTGAGTACCCAGCATTTTTGGTGTTTTCTAATGTAGCCAGTGCTAGCCAATTCATCCTCTTCTTGATGCTATGAAGCAGATACTATTTTCAAACTTGTTATACAAGTAAACTGACATAGAGAGTTCTAAAAATATTTGTTTTACCCAATCTAAAATGACTCGTGGATCTGGGATTTATACCTTAAAACCCAGGGCTAAGAGCCCCTACTTCTTAGAAAATATGACACATCTTCTTTCAGAGATCTTGGGGCCAAAAGATTAACACCAATGTGCATAAAAATTCAAGACCATCCTTCTGAAGGCAAACTTCTTGAAAACTCAGCCTGATGAGGGTATCTGATTTTTGAGGCAAGTCTTACTGTCCTACTTGGTTGTAACTGGTACTATTTTCATTTTTTTTACCTCCTATTATTATATGTGAGGTACTCACTAAGTTCACTGAACATGATGTTGAGAATATAAACTTCAAGAAAGTTATGAAAAAAAGATAATTACAGCTACATTCATTTATTCAATTCAGAGTTGATTAAGAGTAAATTAGAACTACAAGAATATATTAGAATGAGGATGTGGTAATGTGCCTGTGGAGCGGTAGCGTGCTTGCTTAGCAAGTGTAAAGCCTGGGTTCAATCCCCAGGCCAAAAAAAAGAACTATTAGCAAATTTCCCCAAAGGATTAAAGACACAGAAGTTCTAGCAAATGGCATCACAGAAGCACAGAAGTCAGAATGAGGAAGGAAAGCCAGTACAAGAAAGCAGGACCCTCACTTCACAAGCTCTCGATGGGCTGAGCCAAGGACTGCCACGGTCAGAAGACACGGAGCTGAGCGCCATCCCAAACAAAGGTGAGTTTCAATTTTTCTTGTGAATGTGCTTGCTTATAAAAGGTGAAATACGGCTAAATTAAAAAGAAAGTCTAAACTTTATATTCTACTAACCATAGATTATAAGCATAGGGCACTGCATAAGCTACAGAACCAGACATGTATTATTGCCTCTTAAATGGGGTTTCATTTACTGCCATGGGATAAGGAGTGCTTCTGAATAAGACAGAACGTAAAGGTAATAGTGTTAAAAAGACCCAAAACAGAGTATGTGCTTGAAAAATTCTAGCTAGAAACGTGTGCTTTCTTAACCAATTTGCTCAATGTGTTAAATAAATGCAGTTTGTTCTTACAAAAAGCAGTATTTGAGAAGTCATGAGGTTTTTGTTTTCCTCTGTTTGTGTACATGTTTATATTAGCTGATGCTGGAGATAATCAACGCCACGGGGATGCAGGGCTTCAACAAGTCTGAGCGGTGCCCCAGAGACACTCGGATTACACAGCTGGTGTTCCCAGCCCTCTATACTGTGATCTTCTTGACTGGCATCCTGCTGAACACCTTGGCCCTGCGGGTGTTCATTCACATCCCCAGCAATTCCACCTTCATTGTATACCTCAAAAACACTCTGGTGGCCGACTTGATAATGGCACTCATGCTTCCTTTCAAAATCCTCTCTGACTCACACCTTGGACCCTGGCAGCTCAGAGCTTTTGTGTGTCGTTTCTCTTCCGTGATCTTTTATGAGACCATGTATGTGGGTATCATGATGCTAGGGCTCATCGCCTTTGACAGATTCCTCAAGATTATCAGGCCTTTTGGGAAAACTTTGGCCAAAAAACCTATTTTTGCAAAAAGAATCTCAATTTTCATCTGGCTCCTGCTGTTCCTCATCTCCCTACCAAATATGATCCTAAACAAGAAGGAAGCAACACCTTCATCCGTGAAAAAATGTGCATCCTTAAAGGGCCCTCTGGGGCTGACATGGCATCGAGTGGTAAATTACACATGCCAGTTTATTTTCTGGACTGTTTTTGTTCTGATGCTTCTGTTCTACGTGGTGATTACGAAAAAAGTATACAATTCTTATAAAAAGTTCAAAAGTAGGGAGAGCAAAAGCAAAAGGCTGGAGGGGAGAGTATTTATTGTCATGGCCGTCTTCTTTCTGTGCTTTGCCCCGTTTCATTTTGTCAAAGTTCCATACACTCGCAGTCAAACTAACAGTACAACCAACTGCAGACTGGAAAATCAACTGTTTATTGCTAAGGAAATAACTCTGTTTTTGGCAACAACTAACATTTGTATGGACCCTTTAATATACATACTCTTATGTAAAAAGTTCACAGAAAGGTTACCATGTATGAGAGGGAAAAGAGCCACAGCACCGGGCCAAGATCACCACAGCAGTCAGACGGACAACATCACCCTAGCCTGACAGCTTTCTCTACAGACTGATTTTACACATGGCTTAACGTCTATTTATCAGGAGTGAGAGTTCAAGAGATCGTTTACTTGGAAATTCAGTTTAAGCCATAAAGGAAAAATACTAGAACAAATGTTTTCCTACATTTTATTATCCTAGCGTACAGAAAAAAATTATACATGTTCTCACCACATAGATGTATTTATAAGCAGAATGAACTAATAGTTAGAGAATGCAACAGAAAGCAAAATGGCCACCAGAGGTCATCTTTCCAAGAGCATTCACTTAATTGGAAAAGATTAACTCCCTCCCCCTTTTATATTTGTTTTCATTGAATTTTTGTGTATTTTATACAGAATATCTCAAAGAATCTTAATCATCTTCATAGCCTCGTGCCCACTGGCATGCTCCCACAGCCCCCCACTGGAACCCAGATACTCTGTGATCCATATTAAGGCCCAACGTGTCAAGTCAGTGTCCCCAGATGTTCCCCTGTGCAAGTCCACCCATTGAGGTCTAGTCAGCCTATCTAGAGCCTCTTGTTTTAGGAAGATCAGCTCTTCCTCCCCCAGCAGTAATCAGCTGCCAATGTTTCCTTAGCTAAGTTTGGGTCTGCTGTTCATTTCCCCAGGTCTGTGCTGGGTTTCTGTCTGCCTGAGTTTGCATTTTTCTTCTTCTTCTTTCACTTATTTATTTTTGTGGGGCTTTTGGCTACTCTAACATTCCCCCCACTGAAGAGGTACCCCTAAAATCTTTTAAGGATTAGATACTAGCTCCCAAATACTTTTGACATTTTGACATTTTTGGCCTTTGGAACAGAGTGTGTTGCTAACAGGCCCAAGGACATTTTGATTTTTAGCCAAGAAACTGGCTACGTTTCTTTGGGGTCTTTTTACCCTAACTGCCCAGCCAATTCCTACCTCCTATTCTTATCACACCATCCTCTGAAGGGGTTACCCAAATGGCCAATAGGGAATAGGGATGCAAACCGCTCTGGCTTCTTCCATGCTGAAGAGGGATGCAAAAACCTCCCTCCCCTCTAAACACCATCTCATGCTCTTTCACAAACATAATAATGCTGTTTACTTTTATAGTCCCCAAACCTGCTTGTCCAAAGACTATGGAGGAAAGCCTAAACCAGGGGCTGAAAGGGGTCCTAGAAATACAGTCTGAGGAACCAAAGAGGGTCAAAACAACCCCAGACAGCCTGAGATTTTCATCTTACCATGCGAAGGGCCTTTCTACACTCCGACAAGGCACAGAAGAGGCACCTGCAATACAAGTGCATAGCCTTGCGTAATCTGAGAGGCAGAAAGCAGTGCTATTCAGCAAGGCTTGCCTAAGGGAGAAGGTGCACATCCCCTCTGCAGTATAATTATGTCTCCCACTGATGGGCTGTATGTTGGGGTCCTTGTAGCAGATTTCCTTGTAGTACTAGTTTGCTATAAATCTGGACCACATCTCCCAAAGATGGTTAGTGTTTTTTTAAAAAACAGACATGTCACGGATTTTTGATATCTGCCAAAGTATTCCCCACAGACAACGGGCTGCAGAGATCTTAGGAAGGATGTACTATTTTTTTTTTTTTTTTTTTTTTTTTTTGTCTTTTTGAGACAGGGTCTCTCTGTAGCCCCAGCTGTCCTGGAACTCACTGTGTAGACCAGGGTGGCCTTGAACTCACAGAGATCAGCCTGCCTCTGCCTCCGAGTGCTGGGATTAAATGTGTGCGCCACCACGCCTGGCCAGGATGTACTATTCTTGGTACGCATAAGCAATGCAATTACCAGCCCACGACCAGAAATATCCACGTTGGATGGTATTTCAAAGTCTGTTTCTCTCTATTTACAACTGTGTATTTTCCTAGATCTAATTGTGAGTTTTAAAAAAGGGTAAAATATGATTTTTCTGGAATTGTGGATGCTGATTTCGCTTTTATAGAGAAAATGAAGGCATTGTCCTCTCTACCTGTGCCACATGAAACCTAGGCTTCTCTCCTTTCATGACCTCAGAGGCAAGAGAGTTTATTTACCTTTCTGGAATCACCTGCTAACAGCTCCTACACCCCTTAACCTTTACAATCTGTTTAGCATATCACATTTCTTTTTGTCCCCACTCCATTAAACCTATAAACTTCTCTCTGACTCACCTAAATAGCTCTCTTATCTATTGGTGAAATCTTACAGTGCCAGAGCTGAGTCCATGGAATCTCACCTGCCCAACCTCCCACTACTAACCTCAGTTCTAATCACTCCTCACCTGCATGCATGTCATACCTCAACTACCGTATTTATCACATTGCTGCATGATAATCTGCTTAAATATGCATCTACTTCTTAAATAGACTATGTATATTTTTAAGGGCAGAGTCAGTTTCATTGTACAATCAATAAATATTTGCTAAAAATATCAAATGGGTCTTATTTTAATGTACTAGAAAAGCAAAAAGAAAGCCAGCTCCCACAGATAGTATTATCAATAACACTAGTTATCCAGTGCTGGTGGTGTAGCTCAGTGGTAGAGCACCTACTCAGCATTTGATCTACAACTAAGAAGAAAGTAAGATGGTATCAGCTTCACGAGGTAAAATCTGAAGCCCCTGACTGCTCCAGAGTTACCTCCTGCAACGTGCACTCTGGAGCCTGAGGAGTGACAGGATGCCTGGCGATGAACGTCCATGAACAATGCAGGGAAACTCAACAGCGCCTATGAAACTTGGGGGCTGCCATCCAACATTACAGGTTTCGGGCTACTGACAAAATGCTTCAGTCATCCACTGCTGGGTAAGTCAAATCTGTAACTGTAGCAAATTTCAAATTCCAAAGCTCTTCTTTAGAAAGTACTCTTGATGTCTGATTCTCAGTCTCTCAAATAAAGTAATGAATTATTACAGATACTACTAAATCTGCATTACCTGTATAGAGTACACTACACAGTCACAAGGGGACTCTAACACTGTGATATGCCTAACTGCATCTCAGCCAACTTATTAAATAATAATCGATACTTGGTAGTGTATTCTATATACCTCATCTCTGATGACATTTTCAATCTCCTCTAAATGTACTTATCAGTAATATACACCATTTTTTAAAAAAGCTCTTTCTAGATAAAATTTCAATAGCTAATTTTTCTTCCACAACGTGAAATACTTCATTCTATTCGAATACTAAAGTCAAAAGTTGTTTGCTTAGTCAAGTGTGGTGCACACCTATGTAATCCCAGCACCCCAGAGGCTAGGTCAGGCCAATCACCAATTAGGGTTAGCCTGGCCACATTGCAGAACTCTGTCTCAAACCAATAAAAGCAGAGTGCCTGGTCTATACAACAAAATAAATACCATGTTTTACCAAGAACAGGGATACTGGGCCTATCTTAAAACTACGTTCCAGCCAGGCGTGGTGGTGCACACCTGTAGTCCCAGCACTAAGGAGGCAGAGGCAGGCGGAGCTCCGTGAGTTCAAGGCCAGGCTGGTCTACATAGTGAGTTCCAGGCCAGCTGGGGCTGCAGGGAGACCCTGTCTCAAAAAGACACCCCCCACCAAAAAAAAAAAAAAAAAAAAAAAAACCAACCTATATTCCCCAAATGTACTTCCAAACTGACAGTCACAAATCTAAATTCTAGAGAACTTACATAAAGGGATGATACAATATGATCTAGGCCTAAGCAACAAGCAAGGGAAAAGAAAAAGGAGAAGCAGCAGTGTTAAGTGACTCTCCAGAATGGTGCCTGCCCTAGAACAAAGGAGACTGTGTAATACTGTATAACACTGTCCTCTCTTTAGCTCCTTCCCCCTTTCCTATCTCCCCCTCCTCTCTCAATTTCCATGCTTAAATCTGTAGTCACAAATGGATAATAAAACCTGAAACTGTCTCAAAAATAGCTGTTTCGATAAAGTATGTAAGGTCACAGCACAATTGAGGACTTTTATCAAAAGCTAAAATATAATTATTTTCACTGGAAAATTAGGGTGAGACTTCTAAATATTTCCCAGGAAAGGAAGAGATGGGGGTGTAATTACCACACAGGGAAGCATTCTTGAGAAACCACGGGAAGTTACTCTACTAGGGGGTAGGGGGCAGGGCACGCAGTGAGATTCTCAGCTAGGAGAAGAAGCTGATGAAGTCATTCTAAAGAACTGAACTCCTCTATCAAGTTCACACAGATCTTAACAGGAAAAAAACAGCAATAGCAGTAAAGTCTAAACCAGGACCAGGCATGAATTCCTTCCCATTGATCAGGACTTAAGCCTAACCAGATAGCTATTGGTTACTTCCAAGATATAAATGCCACTACTGCACCAGTGGGGATGCCTTCCTGGCCTGGTCATTGTGGTTCCTAGGTTTTATAGGCAGGGTTTGGTGGTGCACACCTTTACAGTACGTAGGAGGTGGTAAGTTCCAGGCCAGCTGGGGCTACAGGGACACCTGTCTCAAAAAAAGAAAACCAAAACCAAAGGCAGGCTTTACAACTAGGAAGTAATATTGATTACTTTTCCCCCTTGGCAGCTTGCGTAGCACCTTTGGATACCATGAGAGCCGAATCTCAGGAAGAGGCTCCCAGGTCAGTTCCAGCTGGATTCCTCCAAGTCCTAAGTTCAAAGTGTCTTGTGTCTTCAGCAATAGGGTCTTACTTTCAAGTTCTGGGAGGCAACCAATGGTAATGGCAATAGTCTATATTATTTTGAGAAGGCTCTTGGATCCTCCTAACCATACATATGTTATATATGGATTTTATAATTTTTTCTATTGTATGTGTATGAGTGTACTGCCTGCGCATTTGTAACTGTACCTGTGTCATGCAATGTCTGCAGAGGTCAGAAGAGATCCCTGGATCCTCCAGAACTGGAGTTACAGATGGTTGTTAGCTGCCATGTGAGTGCTGGGAATTGAACCAGGTTCACTGCAAGAGCAGCTAGTGTTCTTAACTGCTAAGCCATCTCTCCAGCCCCTATATATGAATTTTCAAATAAGCTTACAAAATGTTCTCTATGGCTTTTTCAAGGACCCTTAGTGTTCTTTGTCTTTCCCCCTTCTTCTGTTAAACCCCTCCATTTTCCCCCTTCACGTTATCTATGAGCTACTATCCCCCTCTGCACAATTTCTTACCCTTCCCCCATAGCCCTTTTATACTTTCCTGGCTTCTACAGTTACTTCAGATTATAGACTCAATTCTCAAGATTTGGAAAATAAACCTAGCAAATGATCCATGGCCTGAGAGGTCAAAGACCCCACAGAAGAACCCATTATTGCATTTTCCTAAGATAATGTAATTTCTAACTGTATTCTCAATACTTATCCTTATACCAACAAGTAAGAGTAGCTCTCATCTCTCATCAAAGTAACTCCTTTTTGCAGCGGATGGAAGCTACTACAGAAATCCACAACTGGTCAAAATGCAGAGAAGAGGTGACCATGGGATACCCAGCCCCATCTGGTACATCTGCAACGCGACCCCCACACCTAAGGTTCAGGGAACACTGCAGAAGAAAGGGTGGAAAAATTGTAAAAGTCAGAG